TTTATTGTCCTGACGTTTCGGATTCCGTCGGGAATCCTCAATCATAGGTAATAGTAGCACAGTCATAGTCTGCGCATGATTATGACTATGCTATCATCACCTATGATTAAAGATTCCAGACGGAATCTGAAACGTCAGGAAAATAAAGCCCTTGTTCCAGTGATCGCGTCCTCTTCTTCTGAACTGCTTCCTGGAACTGGCATATTCTCCCCTATTGGCAAAACTGTGCTTGTTGCGAGTTAGAGTAATTCAAATTTGTCCTAAAAAATGACCGCTAGAAACTATATTGAGGAATATTTATTTATTTCTCTCATAAAATACAATAACATCTAATAAACGGAATACGATTAAAAGGACGGTGATATGACAAAATTTGTCATCAGACGCAATCGCAACTATGCGTATATCTTCTGTAAACACAGCATTAATAAGCTTAGGGCCATGCAATACAGAAAAAATCGACATTTAGCCTTGCGGTTATTTTTTGTCATCTCCGAGAATTAGTAGAGGGAACATTTTAAGCCTATCTCTATTGTCTTACTAGTAATATATTGAACATATCGTCTAAACAACACATGATTTTATACTTTGTACACAGGTGCACTTTACGTTTGTAGATCTCATGAAACTTAAGACGAAAATCAAAAAAACTGCAGCTCATGACCGCCACTAACCTAGTTCCTGCAAATAGGAATACTGAGGATGTTCAATGTTCCATTCCATTCCATTTATAAATGTATTTTTAAACAATTCTACTTCAAAAGGGCTCAGCACGGGAAATATATAAATATAGAATTATTCTCGATTTACTTAGTATGAAATTTTGCCATTGACTATTATTTTCTTATCGGAGGGGGGAGAGCGTGGGCTGTACTAAAGCTTTCCCTGCTGATAAGGGTCCAAATCCCATCAAGGCCATGAATTTTTCACAATTGGATTTTTTATTGTTTCGACTGTTCTTATAAACATTAATTCGCTCACCTGACGTGCACTACAGTACAGCTGTCTCAACCCAACTTTTCAGGAAATTTGATTTTTTCCGTTCGATTGTTACAGCATACGATGTCTTGCAGGGAATGAGCAACCTGTTTTTCTACACAATGTTCCTCAGCCAAGTATCCCGCATTCTTTAATTTTATCAACAATCACATACATATGTGTACGGACCTTTAGGTTTTCTCGCCTCTTCCGTAAATAAATACTATCTGCGTGACTACCTCCGTAAATTTTTGTGAATTATATTGTTAACTATATTTTCAGTAAGGAAATTTTTAAGGATGTTTATTTTCCATCAGTTCAAGGATTGAAAATAAGAATCAGAACTTTTGAATGAGCCAGGCGTTTACTGAATTTAAGAGTAAACAAAGCATAAAAATCGTTTGCATAATAACCTAAAGGTTGTGTGAAGGCAAGTCACCTACCATCGTACACCCTCATGAGTTTTATATCCCTGCTAATAGTCCCTTAAGTTTACTTTAAAATAAATGTTTTCCCAAACCCTTTTCTATTTTTGGGGTACATGAGATCCTGGAGTTACTAGGTTAGGTCAAGGCCTTATCACGAGAAGGTGGTGGAGTAAGATGGACTGTGTTTGTCATTACTCGTTGTTATACAGCAAAATCTGTAACTTCACTTGGAACGCAAGGATAATCGGATTTTTTTAATTTTTACCGGTTATTCATAGGTGGAGACCAGATGGTATTCAGGTGCCCCCATTTATTGAGTCTGTGAGCATGACCGTTTACTAAACACTTAGGCGTTACTTGCATCCATTATATGGACTCTCTGGGAGTTCGATAATACTAATATTATCCCTACCTCACAGGTTCGTCGGCTCGCAAGACAAAGAATATCGGTGCATCAATACACATATATTAGGAGTAAATCGATTTACTCTATCACCAACCGGAAAACTTTATGATTAGCCATTCGTTCATTTCAGTTGAATCGAACTCCTATATATGAAGGAAGATGGGTTGTGTTTGCCTCCGCTTGTTTCAAATCCTGTATCTTCTTATAAGAGCTTGTTTGCGTGTAGCGCTAGATGTTAAGTCCAGATGTTTCGTAATTAGCTAACCCGCTATTTCGATGATGAGATTCATTAACTAATCTGCTTATATTTGACAATATAAAACAACGCATCTGTGTCACAGAGCATCGAACGGAAAACAGTGTTTGACCTTACATTATAAACTGGAATAACGACTTTATAACGATATATCTATCGGCAGATTCAACCAATATTATTACTTTAAGGCGGAGTTTCTAAAAGACGATTGGGTATGTGATAAAAAAACTTCTTGTGCATTAAGATATAGTTTAAAATACAGATTTCCAAACATCATATGTATTGCCCTCACCAAATACACTGCAACACCAATTTCCGCCCAAAAAAATTCGAAAAAGTGCCTTATCTTCAAGGTTGGGCATGTGCCTGAATAAATAAGACAAAGAGGTTAACCTTCATAAGTGGACTGAAGGCCCGTCTGTAATAACCTTATTGGTGGATGATCCTGATAAAGAGTTAAAGGCCTTATTAGACATTTGGATTAGAAGGCGTTCCAAGTTTATTGCGACCTAAATAATGGCATCGAGTTACGCAAAACCCCCAAGGTTGCCAGTTCTATCTACTTTTCCTTATAATTATCTACATTTTATGTAAAAATATGCGCTGAGCTTAACAATTCTCAAAAACTTAACAAAATATTGCTTAACAGTTTACTCCGTAATTTTGGTATAAAAGTGCTTCGTACTTGGCCTAAGTTCCACTCAAGCTAGAACCGTCTCGTTAAACTGAAAAAAACTTCAAAACCCATATGTAAAACGGGTTGGCGTTCAAAAAGTGTCATTAATTTAGCACAACTGACGCATTTAGAAAAGCCGTGTTCCGGATGCCGAACGTTGGCCGCCACGCTCAACCAACTGGAACTAGAAGTCAAAAACATGAAACATTTCTAACACAGGTTTACTCTTCCGAAGGATACTATATGAAGAGTAACTCGTAGTAGAACGAGGAGTATTACACCTAACAAATGCCCAAAAGACAAGCAAGTGTTGTCTAAGGTACCCGTAAAAAGAAGTCTGGTCGCGCCTCACGAAGAGCCAAAGACTAAAAGGAAGGCGCCACCGACTACCACACAAAAAGTTCGCCTTGTCCCAAAAGGGAAACAGTCGGCTCCCTCAATAAACAAATGCCAGAGCAAAAGGATATCACAGCCTGAGTCGAGGAAATCCAAACTTCGGTAGGGCCGAATTCCTTTCAGCGCTCTCCGAATAAAAGGCACCCTTACCGCGTACAGAGCGTAGCTATTCCGGATTTCCCAGCAGACATTCCTATTTTACGAACCCAATCTCACGATTTTAAGTTTTCGGAGAATAATCACAAATCTGCAATTAATGGAAACGTCCCTGACAAGAGCAACTGCATTATAATCCAG